ATATGCAAACGAGCAAAAGGCAAAGAAGAAAAAAAAAATATACATGGCGGAAGAAAAATACCCATACTACAGAATGATAGTCGGAGTTGGAGCCACAGAATCACCCGAGTATTGAACCATGTAAATCGAATGTGCGAGCACTTTGGGCCATGGCCAGGACCAGACACTGATAGCCAGACAGGATATACGTACGTAAGCGGGGAAGAGGACAGACAGCAGCCATGTGGTCCAACGGTTTTTTTTCGGGGCAGACAACGGAAAAAATTGTTCATATTATCGTAAGAAGAGTGAGATTAAAAATTGAAATAGATTCGATTCTCACATGGGTAGCATGAAAATGAAAATGAAAATAAAGATGAAGATGAAGCTGAAGACTTGAAGACTTGAAGACTTGAAAACCGCTTCGTTGAAGCCGAGAGTTGTCGAGTTGAAAAGTTGAAAGAACTTCTTCTTGGTACTCATGGCAAGGAGGATTTCTAAGGAATCTAAGGAATATCCAGTTCATGGAGATTGAGACTTGAAGTACTTTTCAAAAGTTTCTGACTCAACGTTGAGTCCAACATCGTATCAAGAACTGATTAGAGCCATAATCTACCCCGCATGCATGAACATGACTCTTGGTGAGCGAACATAAAAATAGAGCAGTCGGATTACGTATACGCGGCGTTGTGCTGTGGCATGCAACAAGCCAAAAATACAAGAGCAACAGGCAGAAGAAGTGTGCCTGCCATGGTGCCACACTTTCGCCCGCCCAATGTCAATGCCACTGGCACCGAGGATGCAGTGCCCCACACAAATACAAAATCCGAGTCCAACTCCAATGCCCACGTCGCCCCATTGCCACAGATATACATATATGTTGTATGTACAGGCAGTCAGCAGGCAGCGGCAGGCAGCGGCAGGCAGCGGCAGCTGGCGGCATGTGGCACGCGGCAAATGCAGTCTGACTGGCAGCACGTTTCCATGTTGATGCTGCGCCAAAAATAACAACCAACAACACCAGCCAGAGAGACCCAGAGAAACAGCCAGCCAGGCAGGCAGCCAGCCAGCCAGCCAGCCAGCAGGCATTGGGGAAACGGCCCTGGTCGTGGCCATGGTCGTGGCTGTGGCTGTGTGGCTATGAATGGCGCCGTTTTGGGCGTTTTGTTTGACCAAAAACTGCAACTAGTCGGCGAAGGTCGTGCAGCCAACGGAATTTCATTAGACAGCCAGACGCAATGCAAATGTCCAGGCAGCAGCTCAAAACGAAAGCGAAAGCGATAGCGATGGCGATGCAGGAGGTCTGGTCTGGTCTGTTCTGGTCTGGCATTGTAATCATGTAATCGTGGGTCTATCATGGCTGGTTAAGTAAGTGGCTAACTGTAATTAGGCGGTTGTTTTGTGCTGGCAGGACACTCAAGCTGTCAACAAATTAGACATCTGTCAGCGCATTGAGTGCAGCGGAAGTGAGTGCCAAAAAGGCGAAATGGTGCCTTAATGGTTGTGTCTTTTTGGGGAAATCACTTTCAAACCAGGCAGGGTCTCTAGCCCTTGGAAAATGACCTCTTGGACAGAGGTTTTCCTACTAGAAAATATAAACCCCAGGCAATTTACAATACCCCCTAAAGAGGAGAGTCTTTGCGGGGTTTATGCCATTTCTTACTTTCCAACGAATATTGGTTCATATCAAAAATCTGTACGTCTACTTAGTCATGCACTTGACAGAGGCTACTTACCCCTGTGCGCACAACTGTACTCCGAAAAGAACAAAGCCACCTAAATGAAGGGCATAGAAAAATGAAGCAAAGTACACACACAAAAAAAAAATACACACAGAAAAATGGGGAAAATGTGAAAAAAATTTAACATATCCATACACACATAAACACACATACATATATATGTATGTACATATGTACGTTAAAAAGTTTGCCCACTCAACGGCAGACGCCATCGCAGAGAGGTAGAGGAGGAGGAGAAGGGAGATTGGCAAGCAGAATGGAACTTGGAGGCGCACGTAGACACGAGGCCGGGGTAGAGGTTAGGGGACGCTGATGTGATGTGATGTACATGGAGCATAGAGAGCATAGAGCATGTAGACAACTGGCAACAATAACGGCATTTTCGATGCAGAGAAAAACGACGAAGCAGCAGCTCCCACGACGTTGACGAAAAGGACGTGCAGGATGAGGAGAGTAGTCGCCTCCTGTCGACGAGGAGTTGCCAACAGCCACTTGACACTTCCGTCGTCACATGAATGGAGCCGTAAAAATGCGACGCTGCATTCGTTTCATTTTCGTTCGTTCCATTCCCTTCATTCGTTCTACCCGGATTTCTTTCCTTTTTTTTTCGGCTGCGGGTGCGGGGCATGTTAGAACTTTTTTATATTTGGGCAGGCATGTGTTGCAGGCGGCAGTGGCAAGTGTAGAAATGAGGCAAATACATTCATGCATAATTTTGATGGCACTTTGAGTGGTAGGACAGGAGCTGCTTCCATTTACATTTGAGATGCCAAAACGTTTTGGGAACACGTTTTGCTTTTCGCTTTTTTTTCGTGTATTCACTCAAGTGTGTGTAGGCCTCCCCCAGGAGGTAGAGTGAGAGAGTGGGAGAGGGACAAGGCAAGTCATTAACGCAAAAACAAAGTGACGATTAGTTGCGGGGGTGGCGAGGGGCCTTTGAGTTGAGTTTTTGCGGTTCAATGTACGCCAAAAAGTAAATAGGCAGTGCACACACACCCCCCCAGACAGACAGGCCAGCCCCAAGGTAGGTCAGGGAGCGGGAGCCAACCAAGTGATGAGACCTTTGCACACACAACACCACAAACAGTGGAGGGAGGAGGCCTTCCTCCAATGGCAGCCTGGGAGGGGGCATGCGGCGTTGGATCCCGTCAATTCGGACAGCGGGCAAACAGCGAGAAGAGTAGCCTCTAGACTGGATCAAATCTGGGATATTTATGAGCATGTTTTTTAGGTCCTCAACAGCCGTCGCTCTCTCATGTTTTCGGTTATGATTGACTGATTTCTGTTGAAGCTTTGGCGTCTCCTGGCACGCATGAATAACACTTTTCGAGAAACGAAAAACCAGAGACGCCAGTGCCTCTGCCTGTGCCCCCGGTGGGCTCTACAATTAGCACTTTTCGCCCGGCCCGGCCCGGCCCTCAAGTGGTTGCCGCCTCGCCTCTGCTGCTGCTGCTGCTCCTCCTGCTGCTGCCCTGATAAGCTGCAGACAGTGATTGCCTTGAGTCAGGCGCTTGAACTCTCCATCGCTCCATCGTTCCATCTCTCTGTCGTCCGCTCTGCCCGGCACTCTCTTAGTCATTCTGCGGTGGCAATTTCTAGCTGCAAATAGTTTTGCGACCTAAAAGTGACAAGCACCCGCTGGCCCGCCAGAGTTCTTCTCTCTTTCTTTTTTTTTTTGTCGATAACAAAGTTTGCCAACCCAACAAAAAACCACCGCTCATAAAATGAAAAAAAATAAAAACGTAAAGCCCAAAAGCAAAGCAAAGCCTATTTACGCACCGCATTCCGTCTGTCCGGTCGTCTTCCAGAACAGAACAGAACAGAACTGCCACACAGAGTGCATTATAAGATAAACATTTGTTTTCTACTTTTTCATTTGGCAAATAACATGAAAGCGTTGAACTCGCCCACAGACCGCCACACCATATGTATACTTATAGAGCACACACAGATATATATATATCTGAATTTATAGACGGTCGGACAGAGGCGGCCATTGAAGGCCCTACAATACGATCAATGGTTGGGGCAAAGCGAAGACTCGAAGCTCGCGAAAAAGTCATGGAAGCTGCCTAAAACCTGACGATCGTTTTCAAGTTGATTCCGTTGAATCCCATCTTATAAACGCATGTGGCACGAGGAACCTTCACGCGGATCAGTGCTTCAACGAAATCGAAATTATCACGCGTTCGCGGAAAATAGCCCAAGCTAAAACAAAGAAAAACCCCAACACAACGAAAGCCCCAGGCCCAACCCGACGACAGTCAATCAGTCGGACAGTCAGGCAGTCAGTCAGGCAGTCAGCCACTCATCGGGTCTGACGAGTCACAAGTGCTGAAAAGTTTATTGCACTATGTTCGTCTGACTTTTGCTAGGGCAAATATTGTTTAATAACATTTTTAAAAATACAATTTACTGATTAAATGCGCTGCGACGTCGACTGGCTACGGCTACGGCACAATGGCACGGCTGTAGTCCTACCCCAAGATGAAAAATTTTGTGTGCTTCACTCGAGGCGAATGACTTTGTACTTTTGTTGCGGCAACGGAGGTTCTAGATTCCGATCATCAGGAGCATTAAAAATAAAGCCGGTTCCAGCTCATGCAAGTCCTTAAAGTCGAACTTGCGCATCGTATATTCATCGCCGCTGTCCTCCTGAATGCCCCAGGAGCCATACTGACTAAAACTGAATATGATAAGCCGACAAAACAAATACCAGAAGATGCCCTCACTGCAATGAGGAGAATCAAGCGACTTGTTTTTTTTAGATGATTTTCCCTAAGGTAACACTCACTCCATTCTTAAGATTATTTCAGTTTCCAATGAGCTCAGTTTTGCAAGGAAAATTCGGGTTGTAGAGATTTTACTACCTTTCTGCTATGACAAAAGTTTTGACTTTAAATGGAACGAGCACTAGAGCACCTTTGAGACAACTAAAACTTTGAAAGTATTTTTATGGAGTCAGGGAGTGCTGCTCCGAGGATCTCCTACAGCCCATGCCCAAGCCCAAGGAGGCGTGCCCCTTGTAGCTATCGCTGGTTGACCATTACTTACAAGTTCCTTTGCGGTTCCATATGATCTTTATTGTTATTAAACCTCGAAATATGGTTCAGGCTTCACCCAATCGTCACCTTTTATCTTTTAGATGAATTTTTGAAACAGCATATATTTGTCAAATGCAATTGGAAAAAACCTTCAGACTTGTATCTTTGCCCTGGCAAATACTGCCAATCGATTGTTCAAAGTAAAACTCTTTCGGCTGAATAAAAAAGTTTATAAAATGTTGAAAATTATACTCATTTTGTTAACTATTTATGGGGTAAGTGAAATAAAAGTAAATACAATTTGGCAGCACCGTTCTACTTTAGTGGCAGTTCGCCCAGATCGATGGGGGCTTTCCTGAGGATGCCCTTGCAAGGCACAATGAGCACAGAAAAAATCACGATTGCCCGGACTTGAAATTGGACTCGGACCTGAGCAACGAATGCGCAGAATATGCCAAGGTATTGCTGCAAATCGAAACAAAATCCCAGAGAGCTACCACTAACAACTGATAGTTTTCCGTCCCATGCAGACTCTGGCCGGGAAGGGTAAGCTGGAGCCAACGAAACTTGATGGGTATACAGAAAATTTGTGCATGACTATCAAGAAGCCGCTAGAGTGCATAGAGAGCTGGTATATGGAAAAGAACCTGTACGATTATAATGCACCAAGATTGAGTTCGGAAACTGAACATTTCACGGCCATGATTTGGAAGGCTTCGAAAACTCTGGGTATTGGCCTTTTTACAAAGTGAGTGAATCGATCATATTCGTATTTAGCAAACCGCCACTCATCGCCCCACTCCCACCCTCATAGGGATGAAAACCATTACGTTGTGGCGCGGTACAAGCCGAAAGGCAATATTATATCGGAATTCAAGGAAAATGTTCCCATGGCCACGTATGTATTTATACCATTCTGTGAATTTTAATTTATTATTTTAATTTCGCATTGTTTTAGGGGCAATGCGGATCATTCTACGTCATTTTGCCTTGCTGTTCTAATTCTAGTGGCGATTTTCATTGAACGTAATTGAGTTTGAAATTTCATTTGTAGCATTCTAAATTAAACAAGAGTATTTCTTCTTTTGGGAGGAACACGAACATTTTTAAATTTTCGCGCCATCTTTTGACATTAACATTGTCCCATGCGCTTAGTTTAACATTACTGTAACATAATGTTGCTTAGGAATGTTGCGAATTACGTAAATTCATAGATGTTGCGCTGATAGTGTTGCGGAATAATGTTGCGAGTTTCGTAAAACCATTTCAGCAAAAAAAACAAAACCAGCACTTCCTAACACTAGTCGTGTGGTGCTTTTTCCAGCACTTCTGTGCTTTTGGCGCCCTTAATGCAATTCAAAAATCGAAATGAAAGCACATTTATGCTGTATGCGCTTTGTTGGTGGTTCTGTTCTGTCTTGAGAGCTGCGAGTTGATGCCCAAAAGCTGCGGGTTAGCGGTTGTTTAAGCTCCCGTCGATAATTACCAACTTTTCCCGCCAGGGCGCACGTGTGTTTTATAATTATTTTTGGATCAATGGGAGCGATTTTATTGTGCTGCGCGATCATATCTATTACCATCGGTGGTGGTGTAAGTCTTAGAGCAAGAGTGTTAAGGTTTTCTTCTTGGAACACCATGTGCCCGCAGATCACAAGCAATGTTCGATTTAAAAATTAAGAAAAATATAGAAATAATTAAATTGTAAGCAATATATATAGAAGTACATATGTATCCATGTAATGTCTGCAAGCAAATTTGTCTGCCAACATGTGGACCAGGGATGCTCGATTTAGGGGGGCGGAATCCGGTGGGCCACAAATTCCAACTTGATCTAGTCTGATGCCACAAAAGACTGCACAAGAAAACAGGTTGCTTTAGCTCTAACCATATTCGAACCCCATTAGAACAGGTGGATGACCTGTGCACTCAAGAAATGGCATCAGCAGAGGAAACACTCTTCTTTTGCTTCGCGGTCACCATGAGCAGCGTTGCCCAAGGCCCGCATAGGCCGCTGACGAAATCGAGGTCTACACCAACTCCATCTAGAGCTTGGAATGCGTCCAAAAAGTTCTGCTCACACAGTTGCTTGCCCAACTGACCGTGTATGCACCAGCCACTAGCCCATAGCCTCCCACACCGCCGAAGCAGCAGAGTGTGACGAGAGCCGGCGAAAACTCTGAGAGGCTCACAGACGCCTTCATCATCGCCACTCTCGTTCTCTCTGCTGGAGCGGCAGCACTCGGGCAGATCATGCAGCTGTGGTAGGGGATACACGGTGGGCTCCTTCAGCAAGCCACCGGGTTTCATAACGCGCATGCCAAGTTGGCCGCTGCAGTTGAGCCCCCAAGTGTAGAGATCTCCGAATGCGGATATAGCCGCACTGTGCCATCCGCCGGCAGCAATGCCAGTTATCTACAATTAACGCTCGAGTGTGACTGTGACAACTGAGATAAGAAACGAAGACAGTGACATACCTTGATCCCCGCTAGCGCGTCTATCAATTGGGGCGTTTCTTCCACTCCTAGCGCCACTTGTCCCAACTGACCGCGACTGTGAAAAAGTAAACAAAAGTGTCAATAACCCAAAACTGAATCATAAACGGGAATACCTACAGACCATTTCCCCAGGTGTATACGTCGCCGTTGCCATTGAGAAGCAGGGCATGCTCATGTCCACATTCCAGCTGCTGGACTCGCCACTGGCGATCGGGAAACTGATGCAGGCAACTGGGTATGGAGTAGACCGCATTTTCAGAGCTGATTGCCACATTGATGTTCGTTCCGCAGGCAATGTGCTCGATAATGGGAGGTGCTGGAGCCTTGGCCGCCCCGAAAATAGTCCGCTTCGTTGCCGTACTTGGTCTGGGGGGACTTTCCAGTCGTATCGCTTGCAAAGTCGCCTCCAATTTGGGCTGAATTTTGTACAGTTCGCCAGTGTACAGCAGAACCAGGCAGTGCGAGTCGCCAGCGGCCAATGCTTTTATCTCCCCAGGGGTTTCCACTTCCACGCAATCGCCTGGCTCCGTCTCGAGCAGACCCCGCAGTCGCAACTTCCGGTCTAGGGCATAGGCAGTGTAACGCCAAGCGATCGAGATCGTGCACTGGTTCTTTTTTTTGTTGCTGTTGCTGTTGCCGCCGTCGTGCGCATTTAATTCTATAATGAAAGGACTGCTTAGTATACATTTCAATTGGGTGAGAGAGCGAACCGCTCGGCGGCTTTGTTGCCAGTTACAAACCACTAAAGCCTGCACACACGGCACTGGCTGCTCGTCGTGGGGGCTGTTTACAAATTCATGCTGGCCAAATGCGTTGAAGCCCGTAAATAGTAACTGTCGCATCTTCTTCCGTTTCGGCCGGCTCCACACAGCCAGGCCAGACACAGACCCAGACCCGGCGGTTGCGTAGCGACGCTTTTGGCCCGCTCTCGCTGCTGTTGTGTTGTTGTTGGTTGGTGGAGCGTTGAGAGAATTTTTTAGTAGTAGTTGGTGCCTGGCGTTGAACCTGAAATGTTGTGTTTGGTGGTGGTTTTTTTCTATCAGTTTTCCTCCTAATCCAAAAGACACATTCAGGAGCGCCCGCGCACGCCTTATCGTAGAAAATCACCGCTCCGGGACAGATAGTGACGAGCTGTGGCCGCTTTCAGATCGAATAAGATGGTATGTAGATTGTGCACTTAATGGGCACTCTTTCGTGGCGTAATAAGCCAATTACAATTTGTTATTAAGTAATTTTTCCTCAAAATCTAATTTTGTTTGTTGTCGCGATCGTTTCCATGGATACACCGTAAAACCTGCGTTGCCAAACACTAGTCGTGTGGTGCTTTTTGCAGCACTGCTGTGTGCTTTTGGCGCCCTAAGCACAGTTCAAAAATTGAATTTAAAACTAATTATCTTTTATAACTGTAGGGTCTGCTTTCGCTGCTACGCAAACTGCGCCCCAATCCGGAAAAGGAGGCACGAATTCTGCTCCTTGGCCTGGACAATGCGGGCAAGACCACGATTCTGAAGCAACTGGCGTCCGAGGATATAACAACGGTTCGTATGAAAAAGAAACAGAAGCGTTTCTGTTTTTCCCCAAAAATAAGGAGTGAACCCCTGCAGGTAACGCCCACGGCCGGCTTTAACATCAAGTCCGTGGCAGCCGATGGGTTCAAGCTCAATGTGTGGGATATTGGCGGCCAGTGGAAGATCCGTCCCTATTGGAAAAACTACTTTGCCAATACCGATGTCCTGGTGAGTCTGTCCGAAGATAGCCCTTGAAATCCTTTTATAACTACTCCCTTCCTCGACAGATCTACGTGATTGACTGCACGGATCGGGCCCGTTTGCCGGAGGCGGGCAGCGAACTGTTCGAAATGCTGATGGACAATCGCCTCAAGCAGGTGCCTTTGCTGGTCTTTGCCAACAAACAAGATATGCCCGATGCCATGACTGCATCCGAAGTGGCCGAGAGAATGAACTTGGTCCAGCTCCAGGGGCGCACCTGGGAGATCAAGGCTTGCACTGCCGTCAATGGCACTGGCCTGAAGGAGGGAATGGACTGGGTGTGCCAGAACATGAAGAAATAATTTGTTTAATAATTTATTTTAAGGTTCGACTCATAAATATATGTACATCTAATCTAATATACTTAAAACTTAGTAGAAATGCAGTTTTACTTCAACCTTAATAGAACACTTACATTTATCTGTACTTGAATACAATAACGTCTCCATGTGCTTTAACGGCTCCGTTTCGCTCATTCGCAAACTCCTGCCCCCAAGGGCCGGGGAGCCCTGTCTCCTCGTCTTGGGACTGGACAATGCTGGCAAATCCTCTCTGACCGGAAGCCTAGCTGACAAATTGGGCGACGGTGTAAGGTGTCAGAGTGTTTCAACCTAACCCGAACCGCATTATCTGGCTACTTTTCAGAACGTAACTGCTTCTATGGAGGTCACAGAAGTGCGCCTCAAGATCAAAAGCACCAAACTACAGATGTTTGATCTAAACGGACGGCTGAAAAACCGACAGCTCTGGGCCAACTATTACAAGAATGTCAGGGGCTTGGTGAGACTTGGCCTACTCATCAGCGGTTACCCAGCTAAAAGGGATCCACCCGCAGATCTTTGTCATCGACAGCAAGGATGCGGCCCGGCTGAGCGAGGCTCGTTGCGTGCTCTGTGATGTTCTGCTGGACGAGCGACTGCGGAATGTCCCACTGCTGATTGTGGCCAACAAACAGGACGCCTTGGGTGCCATGTCCAGCCGCCTTATGGTCGATTTGATGGGTCTGAGCCGCTTGGAGGGACGCGAGTGGATCATACTAGAGTGTTCGGTGACGACAGGCAGCGGTATTCAGGTGGGTTGAGGAATCACTTTCAATTTAAATTACTTGCAACACTTTGCAGACGTTTTACAGGGCATCATCGGTTGGATTTCCAAGAATATACGAAAGTGATCGGTTAACCCATTCGTTAATTGAGCTATAATTCTGTTCTAAATTTTAAATGAAGCTTAACAAGGAACTAATCAAGGTTCAATGGCATATAATACGTTGTTTTAATCGTTATAGATTATCATTATAGGGACTGACAAAGTCTCCTCCGCCAGCCCCTGGCGTGTCATTAGCATTTTGTCAGAGCAGCCTCACCCTACCTGGGCCAGGGCCAGTGAACTTTCTAATCGGAGAAAATTGTGCTTTGTGAGGAAAATTGGGAACTCTAGACCTGCACAGATTATGGGTATGGGTGTCAGCGGTTTTCCAGCTGATAAGGGCTATAAAATGAACAGCTCAGGGACTGGAATCCAATAGTTTCCATTCGTTCATCGCAATGCGCTTTCTGATTTTCCTAGTACTCGGCACGGTCCTGGCGTTGGCCCAGGCACGGACTCTGCGCGGATCGAATGAATCGCGAGATGAGTCTCAGGAGCTGAGCCCCAGCTGGTCGCACAGACACTCCTCGGTGTGGCCCTGCGATGTGGCCGACCATCCCCAGGCCTATGTGCTGATGCACAAGGTGGAGAAGCGCCTGGAGCGCATCGATAGCGAGCCCATCAAGAAGCGGATTGTGGAGTACGTGACGGACCAGCTGCGTCAGTGCAAGTCGCACAACCACATGGACGAGCACTGCGTGAAGCGGTCCATTGGCTATGCCATGTCCTTCATCAACCACCTGAAGGAGCAGGCCAAACGATTCTGATGGGCAACGGCACAAGAGTATAATAAATATATAAAATAAATAAATGCAACAGTGAAAAGAACAGTGATTGAAGAACTTCAAACTTTGAACTACAGATAGCCACAGGCGAGACCACCCTGCTGCAGTTGCGGCGGTGGGGTGGGCTTTTCATAATTCCCTATTTCGGCTTCCATGCGCTCTCTTTCCTTTTGGGCAAACTTGCTGCCCAGATAGAGCTGTTCTTTGTAGCGATTCATTCGCTTCTCGTCCAAGCTGTACCGCCTCAATAGATCCCGCCTGTCCACAATGGACATGGTGATGTCCTGGCAATCTCTGGATGGCTGACAGAAGGTCCACGATCCGAATATGGTATCCACGCAACCGCAGGTGCGACAGTAGCCAACAAAGTTGCCCACCAGATTGGATTTTTGCTTGCGGAATGACAGCGACACGGGTCCCCCCATTGTCCTTAGGGCATGCCCCGAGAAATCCCAGTCCGTGATGTTCTCGAGGAGAACATGGGCTCGTGGCGGCACTGTTTCCTGAACGCTGACATTGATCATCAAGCCGGAATGTAAGAGCTCTTCTTTCTTCGTATCAGCCTTGTCCTTCAGCTGGGATTGGCTAATCTTCACGCACTGTCGCCGAGATTTCCCTTGCTTGGGATTAATACAAGTTTGCTTCTTCTCTTCCGTGGTAGAGAACAACTTTTTGTTTTTTGGAGTGCGGATATTGATCCGCACGCCCAGCACCAGGGACTCCCAAGAACCACTTATGTCGCAGGGTGTACCTGTGGCAGATAGCGATATTGGATGGAGTTATTTGGATCGTCAGAGAACTGATGCCATGCATACCATCCGCCGGATCGGTAAAGCAACAGGGCAGGTCTTTAAGGTCCTCTTCATCAACGGTCTCGTTGCCACATTTGCCCTTCTGCATGGTCTCCAAACGCTGCAGAATCTTCTCCAGCACTGGGGCTATGTTGGCTGGATCCTGAGTCGACGAGGCATTTTTCGATGGCTTCTGGGTCGGCGGCTCCTGCGCAGGCGGGTCCTGTGGTGGCGTCTCCTGCGTCGCAAGCTTCGACGATTTGTGGTATGGTACATGGCCATTGCTGATCTGGTTTCCTTTTTAGAGAGTGTCTTAGACTGGTGGAGAGCTTTTGAAAAACAAAAACCACTTACCCGACTGTCCCTGAAATGAATCATATCCTGAAGGCAATTCCATCCGACCATCTGAAGGAATGGAATTTTGATACGAGCCAGGTCCCGGACCTGAACCTACATTCAATGTCTGGCCCTGTAATGGACCATATCCTGCATTCAATCCCATGCGACCATCTGAACCCATGGAATTGGAACCTTGACCTGAAGCTGGACTCCCATTCGAACCCACAATGCGTTGGGCCATCTCCAGCGGAGATATATTCATTTGACTGGCCATATTGTTAATCATATTCCCCCCCATCTGCGGGGCGGAGCCCATGCCACCTCGATGGATGAGTGCCTCGGGGAAGGGCACTGGGGTTACGGCTTGGACCGGGTATAGATTGTTGACCGCGAACCGCTTGAATGCTGCATGGTCGGACTGCTCGGACTGAAAGCTCTGCCTCAGCCTCTCCATTTGCCTTTGGTACTCATCGAAGAGGTTGTTGAACGGCGACTGTTTAATGGCGCTCAAGCCATTTATAATATCGTGGCGATGCAGACCAGGAGCCAGGTCTTTCGCTGGGGCAGGATGCGTTTTAGGTCTGGCCTTAAAGTCACGGCTGTCTTGTGCTTTGAGTTTTTGTATTTCATTGCGAAGATGCGTTTTCTTTGCGCTGTCCGCTTTCAGTTTGTGGGCTTCTGGGCTCAGTCCCGGCCTGATCAGTGGCACCTCGTTCCAGATGAGCTGTCGGTTCTTCGATTTCGGCAAGTAGTACGGCTTGAGGCCGCCGTTAAACTGATTCTCCTTGTTCATCTTGAGGAATGTCTCCAAGGATTTCATGTAGTTGTTTTCCCGAGACGGTAATTTATCCGCGACCTTCTGCTTGAACTGTTTCTTGGCCTGCACTTGCCCCTGATCGGCTGCCAGCATTGCCGGCCTTGAGTTGTCACATCGACATGGGTTGAACCCAATCGTTCTACGCATATAGTCATCTTCCATGGGGACTTCCACTTTACTGGGCGCGGAGTACTGACGAGGATACTTCTGATCGCCGAGCGCTTGGGAGAATATTTTTTGGTAGTCGTCATAGAGGCCCCCCGGATGGTCAGTCAGTCGTCGCTTCTTTAAGTTTTTCAGGATGTGCTTGAACCTAGTAGCGGTCCTCTGGGGATCCACTTCATCGAGCAGCTCATTGAGACGTTCATCTGAGGCCAGACCAAACGTGCCATGCAGTGAGTCGGCGAACAGGGAGTTGTTACTCCACAGGCGGTGCTCCATTTCATCGCTGATCTTTTTTGCGAGATCGCTTACGATATCACTCTCCTTGAGGCGCTCGATAAAATTCAATAACTCTGTCAAGGCACTGAGCCCATGCATACCGGACTTGGTTAAGGACTCCGTCAAGGATTTGGAAGAGGACTCTGGGTTTCGGTTTGAGGCTGGGACCGTCACTGGCTGCTGCGGGGCCTCTTCGATGTATATCTGATTTGGCTGGTCTTCTGCTTCCTCTTTATGAGCCGCCATTGATGTTGTATTAACGGATGCCTCCAATTGACTGGGCGCGTTGTCCATCTTCAGTATTAGCATCCCAACGGGCTTCTTCCCATCGGCGGGTTCTTCCTCTTCTTCCTTTGACTTGATAGTGTCCATCCGGCCAACGTACTGGGCTGACTGTAGTGAATCCTCGCTGTCCTTATCCTTGATCTCTTGATTGCGCCTCAGCCGATCCCGATAGGCAGCGTAGAGGCGCTGTGTATGTATCATCCGACTATCACCGACCACATCGTCCAACCTTCTTCTCCATGTGTCGGTCTCCTGTCGATGATGTCCATCTTTCATTGTTTCGTGGGGCTCACCTTGGTCGTTTGCTGCAGCGGGGATTGACAGTAGAAGGAAGCAACAGCAACAGATAAAAACAGCCCGGGGTACGTGCTGCAGGTTACTCCATGTAGACATCTCATTTTCTTTTAAAAAATATACGCGAATGTCCTCCACCAAGCAGCAGTAGAGAATTGTTACTTTCCCAGCGCGATTTAATATTAGTTTTGTATATCATATGACCTAGCCAGGCCCCTTTGAATCTAACATATTTACAAATCGAGACGGAAAAGTCACGGCTTTCTAGATGGAGATTGTAGATCGATTCCCTTTCCTCAAGGCTTCCCCCACCCCACCACATGAAACATCAATATATATTCATACAAAAATAATTACTTTGTCTTCCCTTATAAAACAATTAAAATTTTGTAGCCGTTTCCGACCAATCTGTGACATTTCTGGCCATCTGACTGCCGTCTGTGGTCTCCGCCTGAGGCAGTTTATATGTGGATTTGTCCTCACTGATGCCCATGTAGGGATAATAGACGTTGACATGTGGCTTGAACGACTCCTTGATCACCTGCGGCGATGTCCAACGTAACAGGGAATGAGGACTGCCTAATTTTTCGCTGGTTCCCGTCATGTGACCAGCTCCAAAGGGCTGCTTGGCCACCATGGCGCCAGTGGACTTGTCGTTGACATTCAGATTTCCCACATTAAGCTTGAATACCCTGTAGGCCTCATCGACGAAAGCACCGTCGCTGGCAAAGACGGAGCCGATCAGTCCGTGATTGATCTGGGCCACCTTCGCCATAGTCTCCGCCAGCTGATTGTCCGGATAGACATAAACGCATAGTATGGGCCCCAGCAATTCGTCCTTGCAGATTTGATCGTCCAGATTGTAAACCCGCACAATGGTGGGATCCACGAAGTAGCCCCGCGTCCTGCTGCCCCTGCCGCCGGTGAGAAGCTCGCAATTGCGATTTCGCTCAATGTACCGCAGCCACATGTAGATGCGGTTGTAGGCCCGCTTGTTGATCAGCGCCGAGTAGAAACAGTTGCAGTAGGTGGCTTTGCTGACAAAGAGCTTGGAGCTAATCTCCAGCAGAGGCTTCTTGATTTTCGACTCCCAGAGGGATTCGGGCACGTACAGCATCGAGCAGGAGGAGCAATTCTGGCCCGCATACTCGAAGGCCGCTCGTATGGTGCAAGCCACAGCTGTTTCGGGATCGGCAGACGAATGAACAAAGTGAAAGTTCTTGCCACCAGTGTCCCCCACCAGCCGTGGATAGTTCTGGTAGCAGTTGATGTTATTGGCCACCAGCTTCCACAGCACCTTAAGCACCCCTGAAGTGCCCGTAAAGTGAATCCCGGCCAGCATAGAATCCTGCGTGACCACCGAGGCAAAGGTCGTCTCCTCACACGGAATGAAGTTGACGACACCATCGGGCAGTCCAGCATCGCGCATGGCCTGGAACACGTACCAGTTGGACAGAATGGCCGAGTCCGAGGGCTTCCACATCACTGCGTTGCCCATCAGGGCAGGTGTTAAGGCCAGATTGGCCGCAATGCTGGTGTAATTGAAGGGACTGATGGCAGCCACGAACCCGGTCAAGCCCCGCAGCCTCATGTAGTTGTGTTGGGAGTCGGGACAGTCATTGAATGGTTCGTAATTGGCCACGTCACGCAGGAACACGGGGCTCATGCGCAGGAGGTCGACGAGCTCAGCCACGTCCGTCTCCGCCTGGCGCAAGGTCTTCCCCTGGCCGAGCATTGTGGCAGCGACTATGTCGGACCGGTATTTTGTGGCAATCAAATCAGCCGCCTTGTTCCATATGTACATCCGATTGCTTAGCTGCGTCGTGTCCCAGCTCTTCTGGACCTCCACAGTCTTCTTAATGGCCATATTCAACATAGTGCGAGTTGCGTGGCCATATCGAGCTACTTGCCTCTTGAAGTTGTACGGCAAGATCTGCTCCTTCCATTCCATGCCATGAACGGCATGCTCCTCGCCATCGATCACGATGGGCACGTACTTGACTGTGGTCAGAATATTTTGCAGCGACGACTCCAGTTCCTTGCGTTCGTCCGATCCATCCTTGTACTCCAACAGCTTCTCGTTGGCAATGGGCACCTGATCAAAGTGTTCAACCAATCTGGTACGGGAGCCGAAATGGGTCAGCACGCTAAGGATGAAAATAGATTAAACTCTGTCGGGTCAAGCAGCTTAAATATTTTAACAAACTCTTTGTTTACATTTTTTAAATACACGCGCGCGTCCCTGTGAATGCCAAATTTGACCGATGACCGATAATCGATAACATTATTTAAAGTGTAGTGAAAAATAAAAATATCAGAATGCTCTTGTGAGCGAAACATTATACTGTAGGCTTACAGAAACAACCAATTTCTTTCTGTATGTTTTTAAGATTATATTGATACTGATTCAATTCAAATTCCCGCGCACCTGATTGTGACAAGGGCCTGCCAACTCGACTTTGGCGGGCGATAGCACTTATCGGTGCTGACAATAATAAAAAAAAAACCGGTGCGCGAATTGTTTTTACTTTTACCGATGCCATAACACATTTCTTTGGAGCATGCAACTTACCCGCGTTTTATTAAAGCCTCGTGCTTCGGAAGTGTTGACCGCGTACTTGAAGCAATGCCAAGAGCCGCCCTGGACATCATATTTCGTCAAGGTAGGAATGTTCCGTAAGCGCAACAAAAACAATCCTTATGGCCAAGTGCTGCACTCCAATTTCAGTTCAGGGATGTCACCAACGATCAGCGTGGAATGTCGCACTTCAACTGGACTCTGGACACGGGCACCAACTACCACATCCTCAGGACTGGCTGCTATCCTTATATGAAGTATCACTGCAGCAGGCGCGAGGTGCAGGATCTTTCGCTCGAAGACAAGTTCTTTCGTGTTCTGAAAGTGATCAATCTGGGTGAGAGGGCGGCCCTTTAAACGATGGTCATGGCTAACTTAACACCCAACCGTCTCGCAGGCTTACCTATGCTCTTCTATGGACTGGCTGCCATTCGCCTAATCAGTCATACAGAGATTGTACATGTCAGCGAGACGGTAAAGGTCCCAATATATTTCCTGTATGCTGAGGATAAGGGAGCTCGGTTCTAATTTTGAGGCATTAAAATGATAAATGTCAACATTTTACAACTGGGCTGCTCAGGGCAGCGACCTTCTCTCCCGTATATTATACAAGCTCGCCAGCAATAACATAATTACACTCTAAATAACAAAACCATAACTCAATTTCTGCAGTCGGGCGGATGATTCTCGCAGGTCTCGTCGTAGTTGACCAGGAGCAGTGCCTTCAGAGAAGCCTCAAACTGTGTGAGCGAGCAGGGCACATCACAATTGGGTATTGTCAGCTCCTTGGGGAACTTGTCATCGCTATTGTAATAGTACACCAACTGCAGAAGGAATACGAAAACTGTTAGATAGCCATAGCCATGTATATGCCTCCACAAACCTTCACTTCGAAGTCGCCATCACTAAAGTATTTGCTGTGGTGCAGCTCAAAGGCCAAGGCGGATGCATATTCCGGCAGCTTGGCCGTCTGATCCAATATCCCCAGCGAGTTCATCACATTGACCAGGGTGACATCGTGCCCGGAATATAGGAATATCTTTCGATCTGGACTCAAGTTCTTCTTGCGTTTGTTTTGCATTTTGTTGAGAATTTCGGTCAGGAAGGCACCGCCCTTGATGCGCTTCATCAGATTGGATTCTGTGAACAAGGCATAGCTGCGCTCGGCCAGCGGTCGTATCTCCTCTGGATATATATTCTCGGTCCAATCTGGCAGCACCAGACCGGCCTCCTCCTCCGTCTTCAGGGTGCCATACAGCAGCTCCACATCCAGAACATTCGAAATGTTCTGCAAATTAAGATTATGCGGCAATTATGCGGCGTCTTCAGGGGGGATGGATAGTGATGGTCCTACCTTGCCTGTGTTCTTTGTGAGCAGCTTGTACAGCTCCTTGTTGTCCTCGTTCAGTTTCTGCAGCTCTGGCGGTGGAGATTTATAGAGCTTCTGCAAGATGTTGTCATATTTAAGGCAGGGTTTCTTCTGGGCCAGCAGCTGGAAGGGAAAGATGGATTGGATAGATAGAATAGATAATGGATATGGGAACTTACGATGTCATCGTTGCGCGATAGGGTATTTACAGCCACCGGTTGCCAGGGTATGGGCAGCACATTGTTGTTCTCCAGAGGCGGCATGAAACCGGCCAAAACGCTCTGGGCGCTCATCTAAAAGATAACGGCCAACTGATTAGGTTTACCGCATCTGATGGTTACCTTTCTTGACGCACCACACAGCGTTCCGCGGCAGAGCTGAGCACGTGCACCTGCTGCTGTGTATAGAGGCTGTTCGATGGAAACAGTCGATAGTAGCGCATCCGCAGGTTCTTGCCCAGATTGTACGCCTGCAGGCTGCCCCTCTGTGGAGAAAGATCGGGTTAAGTAGAGCGAGGGTCTTCCATCTCCAATGCGCCATTGACTCACCGGTGTCAGGGCACCAGAGCCACCCTGCCAGTCGTGCGCTGCATGCGGGTCGTGCGGATAAAAGCCACTCGGATTCTTGGCGCCATGGCGGAACAGCTGTGCAAAGAGAGAGAGAGAGAGAGAGAGCATCAGAGTCAAAGTTGTTTAGCGGCTTTGGGGCAGCTCACAATGGAGATCATGCGTAGATTTCGCAAGCCCTGCTCGTCGTTGCTGTCCCCGAACACAAAGTATGCCATCATCACGAAGCACAGGGCGCTGCCCAGCACGATGACCGAGATTTTGGTGCCCCGTCGCGATTTGCAGTCGAGCTGCACCATGATTAGTTCCTTGTGCTGCTCTTGCTGCAGTCGCTCGGCATACGGCCTATACGAATCTTTCAGATTGGCAGACTAAAAATAGTTTTTGTTTATTTTATAGAGTGTTTTTGCAGCACAGCACAAACAAACAGCGCGTCCGCACCCACGTTCGACAGCAACAAAAGCCCCCAAACAACTGAGCAGCTGACGGCAGCAGCCAGCAGGGAGCAGGCAGTCAGCGTTTGCCCAACCGAAGAGAGAGCCCCAGCAGGCGGCAGAGCTGAGAGCATGGGGGGGCCGGCCGACGTCGACAGACATGTGCGAATAATTAAATTAGGTGCCCAAAAGCCAAAGAGAAGAGCCGAGAGGCGCCGACTCGACTAGCCGATGCCCTGCATCAAAGCACTGGCAATATTTAGTTGGGAAGTATGTTTTTGCGACTATAAATTATAATAAAACAATTCTTTGCAAAGGTACACAGTAACATAATCGATTTGTATCGATTGATCCACCACTGGCCTCGATAGCAGAACAAGTGAGATCCGTGGGAGCTTCTCAATGCGTCTCTGGTGTGGTTGGTTCCTCTTTGCTCTCCTCCTGGTCCTCTTCCGAGGAGGTCGGCTCCTCAACCAAGTAGCCCTCTTCTGCCTGGTAGGTTCGCTGGCCGTTTGTAGGCTCTTGCTCAACTGCTGGCTCCATGGCTTGCTCTTCCGCTTCTGCGGGCTGGTCTGAGTAGTCTTCTGGCTGCTGTCCTGTGGAGGTAACCTCCTCCTCAGACATGGGCACCAACTGGTAATAACAAATCTGCTCCACTGGTTGCTGGCAGGCATATATCGCCTGGTGATAGGCCGGCACCGACACTGGCACTTGCACCGGCACTACCACAGGCACTGCCATTGGCATACCCACATGCTGTTCAAGCGGATTGAGGACCGCATAGAAGAGACCGCTGTTTAGATTTTGTTGGGTGGGCAAGGCCATTTGGGACTGAAGATCGGACAGATAGTTGATCACGCCAATGGGACTAGCCACATAGGTGGCCGCGCTGTTGTCTGGCATAAGCCAGGACATCTCTTCGTAGTTTGGCAGATAGGCGCTAGCCGTTGGTGCGGCGTGCATGGCCATTGGATAGGAGTACGTGCCCGGCATCAGGTAGTAGTCCTGATAGTGCTGATTCAAACCCGACATGGTTCCTTCTTGTAATTACAGAGAGGCTTCTCCAGATCTGAAAGGAGAACGCATTTGGAATTGGATTCAAGAGGCAACTGGTTTGCCACACTCACGCTTTGTCGCAAAAAACAGATCACTCAAACGGTGATCGGTGACCCTCCACAGGAGGATGATCGGCGAAGGATCAGTTAAAGTGCTGGCGAGCCAATAGCCGAAACGGTAAGACGTAACAAATTTTGAATTTCATACAAAAATAATTTGAATAATAAATTTTGAACTGTGTAATATTCTTTAGTAACGTTCGAACATAACCATCGTTCAACTCACAATACTACAAGGAACGACAAAATAGAAATGAAGGAAGAATCCCAGGCAATCTGGATAACGAAAACTCCATGTATGTTTAAAGAAAACACTTAATTTACACATTTAATCTAGTAATCTAATCGTAGAACTATGGACAGTCTTCACTCGTAATCGTAATAAGCGTATTGCAGCTTGCCCCGGTCAGTAATCGGAATCAGTTGCCACCCAGGACACACCGCTCCGTGTCGAGCTCCTCATCCGAGTCCATGCGCTGGCAGTCTCCGTGTCCAGAGAAGCGCTTGTACACGAGATAACTGCACCAGACGGTCAGGGGTAGCAGAGCCAGGCCCAAGGGCATGAGGAATAGCAGCAGAAACTCGCGCGGATCGCTGCCGGGAACACCTTCATCACTGTTGTCGTAATCGTTCCAGTACTCCTCGTCCTGCTCTTCAGCTGGCAGAACGTCCAGAAAGGCCTCGCGGATCTTGTGCCCGCGATAGCTGATGGCTGCACAAGCATAGTGTCCGGCATCCCTCAGTCGCACGCCGTCAAGAATCAGCTTGCTGAGATAGATCTGCGGTCCGATCATCATCTCCGAGGCCGTGGACAGCAGCTCATAGGTGCGTCCATCGTAGCGTACGATGTGTGCACTGAAATTGGAAGCAGGCGATGCGGAGGGTCCCTCACCGGCTGGCAGGGAACCCACGAAGGAGTGCCTCTTAAACCACTTGATTGTTGGATGCTCCTCGCTGTGCACCCTACACTGGAAAACCACCCGACTGCCCAGCGAGGCGGTCTTGTTGCTGGGATACGAATCCATGAACTCGGGAGCAGCCAGTGAACTGTCTAACGGATGGAGAGAGTCGAATCTTAGTAGGCTCTGACTGCAGAAGGACGAGATGAGGTCTTACTCTTCACATCTAGCTGGTAGGTGCGCACTAGCTGCACGTCCACCGACTGCGCCTCGTCCCAGACGTGCGGATTGATGCTGCATTTGTAGAGTCCGGAATAGCGCTCCGTTACGTTCCGCAGCCAGAGCTCTGGCCGGCACAGACTCGGTTCGCAGGGCAGGGCTGTCCAGTCATCGGCCGCCTCGGGCTGATAGCAATTATTGTCGCTGCATTGCTGCAGAGATGGGCAATAAGGAATCGGTTAAAGCAGGATTCTGTGGATATGATTGAGGCATATACTACCTTAAAGAACCAATGTATCTGGATATCGGCCAGCTTGCTCTCGTCCAGCAGACCCTTCAGATTGCACTGCAGCTTCACATCGTATCCGGCACGCTGCTGTATCAACTCTGTGTTCTCTGCACCGGCCAATGGAAAAAACAAGAAGCAGATGGGAAAACAGTCCAATCAATTCAATGCCAAAATGTTTGTTTACCATTTTGACAGCAATTGATAGGCGAAACAGCGGTATCTTATCAAATGCTGTTCTCTCAAAAAATACGATTAATAATCCAAGCATTTTTGTGGAATGAAAGCGGAAACGTGAAATTGAAAAAGAGTTGAGCTGTGGATTCAGGTTTCCGTAACGCTCATGCCATTCGTTACAGGTCGATGGGTTAAATTTCAATTGAGTATACCGACTGTTATATGAATCGCCAGACCTATTCGGATTTTTACTACGAATGAAAGCGAAACGTTGTAATTCTCTGTAATTCTGGGAATACTAAGAACGACAGCAGAACGTTGTAGTTATCTGGTAATCTGGTTCTAAATGGTATCAAATTTTCAGTTTGTTTAGCTGAAAAATGCGAGATCCATATATCAGATTATCTAATTCTAAGAACCTAAAAATCGATCTATGAATGTACTATAATATCTATAAGTCTATTATAGAAATTTGTTTCTACTAAGAACGAAAGCATTCTGCCATTGCCCGGCCTTTGGAAATCGTCGTCTTCGGGACCTTATTCAAGTTCATCCAAGCCTCCGGATCGGACTGCCGGTAAACAGAACGTTATAGTTCTCTGTAATATTCGATGGTCTCCAACTAACAATTAGTTTAGCTGAAGAATGCGATTCATTTCGCTGGAATTTGCCATGAAGAACTTAAAAATCGATCTAGAAATAATTCCACCTACAATAATTGATACATCACAATTGAAACTGTATTCTACTTATAAGCTTAGAACCTCATTAGCCTGTGAAACTCAGACTCCCACTAATCCACGGACAAAATGATTCGGTCAGGCATCAACTTACCTGTATAATCCACAAAGTAGCCGTGAGCTTGTTGAAAGCCACAGAAATACAGGTGTATCAAAAGCCAAATGTGGCTAGACCACCACAGATAATATCTCTGTCTAATCATCGGATCCATTTCCACTTAGTATATCCGATACATTGCCAGACAATTGTTGTTGCTGCGTCGACCTATCAGATACATGGATTTGTTAGTTTGTGGCACAGATACGATACCCTGTAATGGTAGAATATTTATTTCGATTCCACTTCCACTGCTTTTGGCCATCCATTCATTCCCAGCGAGTGATCGATTTTAATTTAATTTCTAAGCAAACACTCGAAGCTCTCCAAATTTGTATTTATTTATTTGTGTGTCGAGGCGGGCTGCATTTTCCACCCGCTCGAACATATTTTTCACACATTTAATTGTGCGCTGCGCTGTCGGCAATGAGTGTAAAATTTTCTTTTGTTTATTTACTTGGCCATTTGGGGCGAAGGGGGCGGTGCTCTACATTAGCTCACAAAACACACAAGCATTTAGACACAAATCCTTGGTACGTACATATATATAAATTATCAGCAATTTTGCTTTCCATTTATTAATAAAATAGTGAGTGCCATTTATGCAACAATAAATCATTGCCGGCAGCGATAATGCTCGTTTATCAATTCTGCTTGGGCCAGACACTAAATATTGTCTAAAAAAGCACATAGCAGGGCTCTAATGGTGAACTCATGAGAGGGGAACATTTTCTTTTCGAAATTTTCAATGGAATGTGGATTTTTTGGGAATAAAAAAAGTTTGCTACAACGAAAAACAAAAGACTGTGATTTATCAAGAAATCAAATCAAAAGATTCGAATTAAATATTCCTTCCGCCCTAAGAAATTACACATTCAAATCAATTCCTGGTTCTCTGCTCCTACAAACACCCTTAGAATTTTAATAGAATAAGTAATGCATTCATGTAGACACACTTTGGTGAATTTTTTTTTAATTGGAATGTCACGGACAAATCATTTTCGAGTCACTTTTTAGCAAACCTCTGGCCACAGAAGGCTCATAAAACACATTTGATTCGATGGGCGTTTTGTTTATGCAGTTCGTGTTATTTTCCACGATCGGCAGATCCAGCGAACCCCATTGTGATGGAGATTTATCTGTGTTGCCCCACTTGATTGGCATCGACTCAATTGATTTATACGATATCATTTATTAGGTGAAAAGCTGATTGTTTAATAGACAATTTGTTTATGGCTAGCAGAAGTTGAATCCAAATAATACAAATTTAGCACTCACTGTGGACAGAGCTCGGGGGGATCAACCATCAGCAGCTGATGGACAACTGACACAATGCTTTCATATTTGAGTGAAGTACGTCAAAGTGGAAGGAATACGTACTGCTGATATGGCTGTTTTTTATATATAGTTTTTTTGTTTTTTTTTTGTTTCTTTGCTTTTCGATTAATGCGCCAAGCACTAGCACTTGGCCTGTTTTCTGCTGATAGAACCGTTCGGTTCGCGTCTCTGGTTACCTAATGCCACACAAACTTCAATTGGCCTTCAGGACGTTGCGGTTTTGCACATCGAGATCTTCTGCTTCTGCTGACACCGCGCAATGTGCGTATGTTTTCCGTTTACTATTTAGCAATTTGTTTCTCCTCCTGTGGCCATTGTGTTATTGTTATTGTCGGTAAATACTTAATGTAGACCCACATCGATCTCCCGATCGTTTGTTTTCCGTGTTCGTTCCCGTGCGCGTCCGTACGTGGAGCTGGCTATCAAGAAACTACTGTAATACACGAATCGAACAAGTGTTACCCCTCGGTGGAGAGACGAGACGAGGCGAGGCGAGGCGATCGTCTATCGTCTGCCTTCGTTACCGTTTGGCATGGCATTGGCGTAGTGCAAGTGGTCTCTGGGCTCTGGGAAAAACGATATAAATGTGTTTTATAAGCAGTTTTGCTTATCGCATATCAATATCAATGCGTAAATATACAGTAGTCGATGGTGTGGACCGATATGGGCTACGGCCACACACCTATGTATACACGGATCCCCGCACACGCCCTCAAAGATTAGACTGCGGCAGAGCTGTTAAGCTTTATCGCGCTAGTGAGAACCCAAAAAAAAAATGTCTAACCCCATCGGATCCCAGAGTAGAGATTCCCGGAGTTGTGGGGCCATGTAAATTTCCCCATTTTCCATCCGTCGGATATTTATACAGCTCTTGTGGCCTCATCAGAAGGTTTATCATATCGGGCCACCGTGCGCACACTGCGGTCCGTTCGATTGCCATGGGGACTTATCAGAGCAGCTTATCAAATACAATAAATAGAGCGGGAGCCAAGCGGCAGCCTGACGGCAGGCCAAACCGAACCGCACCGTACCGATGGCGTCTATAGATTGCCTGCCAATGGCGACAACAATGCCACCAATTTTGACCAGTTCCATTCATCGAACGTTCGCCCAACAAATCCCAAATTAATGCCCAATGGTCTAGTCAACCAAAGCCCCTAGGTACCCAAAACAGAACATTTTGATATCTCCCCCTGCCATGGCCATTGAAACTGTATAAAGAAGTATTAGAAATATATCTCAAGTGTGTGGTTGGGATTTTATCAGAATCAGGTAAATTTAGGAGAAGCTTAGTGAATGTTAACCGGTATTCTTAAAAATATTCCAAAATCTTAGGCCAGCTCACAGTATTCAACCGAATATCCAAAACGAGTAATATCCGCTGTCACACGTATGCTTTTTTTATTTCTTTACATTTTCAAATGTGCTCTTTTCCCTCGGCTTTAGTTCGTTCAATTCCGATGCCTGCTCCGCCAGTAGATCCAGCATAAATTCCATCTTCAAATTGGACATATTGTTCTCCTCTTCCAGGACACGGAACTTCTTTTTCAGACGCAGCATATCGTCCACATCGCCCTTGCGCGTCGAGTGCATCCAGATGCCATCGGCAAAGCGCAGCTCCTTGTTGCCCAGATTCAGCGAAATCTGGCGAAAGTCATCAAGATCCTCGGCGACAGCAGGAATGCCAATATTGCATCGATTCTGACGCAGCGGTATCGGCTTGGACTCGAATTTCTTGTTGAACAGCGGCATCGCAGAGTGAAACTAAAAGAAAAAGTTGACCAACTCAATTACTAGCTGGGGTTGCGTTGCCAGGGACAACCGACACCGGGACGTTGGTCACAACAGAACGGCCAGGCAAAATGAATGCGTGTAAATATTGTACCTGTTTCTGAGTCGAGCTGTCAAATACTAATTGACACACTCGCATAGATTTGTAAACGAATTCGAAATTTTCAGCCTATGCTTGGTACGAGAGAAACCACATGACACAGGAGCAGAACAATTTATCGGCCCCCAGGTAAGTTAGAGCGGAGTCCAACAACCAAATAAGTCACATCATCTCTTGCAGAGGCACTTTCGATATAAGCAGCGATGTAGAGCACCTAATAGACAATACCAACGAGGACATGTCGAAGTTTCGTGATAAGGTTCAGCATCTGATGGACAACGTAGCCGAGGTGGTGGGGGAAAACCAGCAGCTCCGCCAGGAGTTGGCCAGATACAAGCTGGCGGACACAAGAAAGCCAGGTGGCATTGAGGAGGTCCAGCAGCGAAGCCAGATGACCGAAGACGCCCTGGCTACTGCCTTGAAACAGATCGATTTTCTGCAGAAGGAGCGAGGCAGCCTGAAAATGATCCATGAGTGCTCACAGCGTACCATCGATAACATGGAGAAAGAGCTAAAGAACTACCGGAAACAGCTTCAAGACTCGGGCGACGACAAGGTGCATTAACCATACCCAGAAAAGTTTGGCCTTAATACGAACTGTTTTTACCTCGCCGAAATTTATAGATCATCAATAAGTACATTCAAGCTATTAAAATGCTGGAGGGTAGGGTCGACAGCCAAAAAAACGACATACGCGCACAGGCAGAGATGATTCAGGTTATGCACGAGCAAAAACACCGCAGCGGTAAGCAGCTCCTGGAAATGCAGGCGAAGCTACAGGAGCAGGAACACCAGTCGGCGGTCAATTACGAGAACTCAATGGAAATAGCCGCTCTGAAGCAGCAGCTCATGGATTACGAGCAGCGTCTGCATGACGCTCAACAGCTGCTCAGGGAGAGCCACAAGCGGGAGGAAGTGGCCATGGCCAAGGTCCAGGAAGCCCTGAACCTCAGCGAGTCGGCTGCCCGGGAAAAGACCGATGCGGAGAGACGATCCGAGGGCTACAAAGTGGAACTGACTCAGCTGGCCAAAAATATGGGCGTCATCTTGAAGGAAGAAGCCAAACGTGTAGACAACGAGGTAGAAGTGCTAAGATCCAAGCATCGCGAGAAGGTTAGTGCTACGACAAACACGGCAGCCTTGTTCCTTAATCTCGTTTTTCTTACCTATCGATTGCAGCTCAAACACCATAAAGCGGAGCACGTAGCGAAAATGCAAGCGCTGCTGACACGCTACACTCAATTGGAGAGAAAGTATAATGAGGTTTTAGATCAGAATGAAAAACTCTACGCTGAGCTGCAAGACACTAGCCAGCGTCTGAACGACGACAAGCAGAAAATATCCGAACTGTAAGACTAATACAAACAGTATTCCTCGATAATATCTAACATACTTGGGTTCCGCAGCAAGATCTACGAGACTCGAGTGAGCGAATACATCCAGCACCAAAGAAAAATAAACGAAGAGTACAAGAAGGCAAGGAATGACCTAACGACAAAGTTTCAGCAGGAGGTCAGACGTCTTATGGATATGAACTCAGAGCTGAAGGCCGAAATAACGATTTTAAAGGGGGAAAACACCAGAAACCATACCATTTAGAATAGCTTGCAAACTATACAAATATACGTATATTAGTTATGTTATGGCATAAATACTAGTAGTTTGTAATAAGGCGAAGCTACAAGGCAGTAGCCTGAGCATTGCGACCGGGAAACAAGCTGGGGAACCAATAGGCAGGCTCCTCGTCCGCTTGCCTGTCTATCCAGCAGAGGCCCTCCCCCAGGACCTTGTCAAGCGATTGCCTGGCCCGGTAGTCGGTCCATCTGAGGAGCAACATTAGGAAACCAATTAAAATGTACAACTTTTAGATTGTGCTCAAAGACTTGCCCCAAGTCCTGCATTAGCTGAGATTGTGTGACGCAGCCCTGTTCGGTATTGGATGCAGCATTCAAGATGTTGGTCTCCTCCATGCTCAGCTCCCCGGGAATGGACTGAACGATGTACTTGCCTTTGCCCAGCTTGTGCACAACAAAACTGAAAGTAAAATCGGAAGTTAGCAGTTCTGGACGAATGGGTATCTGTGTTAGAGTTACGTTACCCATTTCCAAATATGCTCAGCTTTTTGGCTGCCATCAGTATGTCCTCTTTGGTGATCTCCTGGTGAACTGCACTCTGGCCACGGGCCGCTACCAGACGCCGGCGCAGCTCGTCCAGCTCCATCAGACCGCCCGTCTTGTGGTTGGCCGCCAGGCACACCTCGACCACTTGAACACCCAATTCGTAGTAGAAGTCGCCCATGCCCAGGACGCTCCAGAAGCCCTTGCCCGTGGCCAGCGGATCAACGCCAATGGCAGCGCACATTTCCTGGAATTGCTTGCGAAACTGCGCGTTCTTGCGAATGTCCTCTTTGTGTTTCATTGCGAACTCCTCTAGTTTGAGCCGGAAAACATCCATTTGCTTTGTCATTTGCTCCAGCTGCGATTCCTGCAGGTCTGTGCCTTTGTCCTTGTACTTTTCGGCGGCTAGCTTTTGCTGTTGAATAGCGCCCAGTCCCGCGCGGCGCCGCATGCTTAAATTTTTCTTTTGTTTTCTTTTTTAAATTACAAATTAGACAGCAAAAAAAAAACAAAACAATAGAACAGCTGATAACATATACGGTCTGACCCTCAGAAATATACCAAAATATACCGTAAATATACTGACGAATTCCAGTTATATTTTACATATTACTCGATTTTGATTTTCCGTCGAATATTACTAGCTATATAGAACATTTAGCCATGCCCACATAATTTTATACGAGTGATGAATCAATTTTCTACAAGATTGGATAGTTTTTAATCCTTGCTTTTATTGTATTTATTGTAAAAACAGGGTTAAGCGAAAAAGTCCAACCAAAAAAGAGTCGCAATGTTGCTGGTATTTAAAGACGTGATTCGTGTATAGCACTTTGTACACCCTATTTCGCTAATTTTATATGAAGATCAAACGAAATTTATTAAGACCTTTTCTCAAATTGATATTCTTTAGACATATTCAAGTACATTATTAGTATCCTGTGTATATTTATGTCGATCCTGATACCCACGGAGCCTTGGAAGACAAACATATTCACAATTCTATAACATCCATTTGCCCCAGGGTATGTGTGCATGGAATTAGCAACATGTTTGTGTATGGAATGAAACTCATTGTTGCAAAAGCGAAACTGCGGCGAATCGGGTATTGCCTATATTTCAAGCTATATAGATTTGCCCACTTGGCTTTATCCCATAGATAAATGCATTTTCTACAAGATTGCTTCTTTTAATTACCTTTATGTATTTTATTTTGACCAAAAAACGGTTTTCAAGTAAATGTTGCCGCAACAGTGTGTATGGAATGTGCAACATTGTGTATGGAACGAGACTCATTGTTGCTAAAGCGAACTGCGGCGAACTGCGGCGAAATCAAATTCAATTCAAAAAACTACCAATTCTTTGTTCCGTTGAATAATACTATCTATATGGAACATTTAGCCATGCCCACTCAATTTTGTACGATTGATGAATCAATTCTATACATGATTGGTCTATTCCAAATATTTGCATTTATTGGATTTCTATATAAAATTGAAAATTAAATTAATAGATTGAAGAAAATGGACAAAAATACCATGGGAGCGCGGCGAAAACCAGTATTTCTACAGTATGACCCTCAGAACAGCACCGAAATATACAAAATATACCGATTGGTGCGCGCCAAATCTAACTTTTTTGAATGTGAGCGACAAAGATTTAAATGTTGTCAACCGGCCCATTACCGATGCAACAAATACGACGAATCCCTCAATTTAGGCAAAAAAGGTCAACAAAAAAACAGTGGCAACGTAAGTGAGTATGAAATGTCACGTCAACCGGAGTTTGGGCTCAGCTATACCCTATTTCGTTGATATATATGAAGAAACTGGTTTTCCAAGCTGTTTTAAAACGTAATTAATATAGAAATTATCTCAGATTGCTCTGTTTTGGACATATTAATGCATATGATTAGGGTCTTGTAAATATATCTCGATCCCGATACCCATTCTTGGTTTCTGTATGTAGACCAAAACCTTCAAAATATCGTTGAAATACCTTTAAAACAGAAACTGACTAGTTTTGGCCTTTATTGGTGCCTTAGATGACAAACATTCTCTCAGTTCTATAATATCCATTTCCCAGGGTATGCAAAATGTTGCTTTATCCGCGCCATGTTGGGCAACAATGCTGCTCGATTTCACCGCACATGAGTCTGGCCCATACAAATTGAATGTTGCCAGCAACATAAGACGTAAGAAAACGTAAGTGAGGATGGAATGCGCCGTAAGTTTAGGGAAAAAAAGGACATTGTGGCGAGGAAAAATCCCAGAGAAAATCCAAAAAAAGTCCCACCAAACTTGAGCGCCAAATAGACATTTTTTGAATTTGAATCATCGATGTTTTTTCTCAAACATCGATGTTTTTAGATTTCATTAAATTGATATCGATGCTGTTAATGATTATAATATTGATGCTGCTATCGATTGAATTCTGAAAAATATCGAAAAATACCAAAAATCTGCGCCAATGCTATGTTAACAATTGTGTGCTGTTATGCGCGATATGTTTCGATTTCGAAATTCGGCGGAATTTCAAATTGTATTTTCAAAATAAGAATATCAACCTTCGTTTGTTTTACGTTAATGGCTGTTTATTAGAATTTATCAATAATAGAACTCAGCGGGAACCAGAATTGGGCTAGGCACATTGAAATGCAATGAAATAAAGAAAGTTCGAGTACTGGAGGTAGCCCTGCAGATCAATCTATGCTCTTGAATGAAACTACTATTTTAAACGATCGTGTTCTAAGTTAGTTATATGTATATTTGACTTAGTGATCCTGAGTATTTGATTTGGCTGATTTTTTTTAATGCATCTTGAGTTTTCCACGGAAGTAGAAGTGACATTAGTGACCCGAACTCATCGATTCCTTGTAGAAAGCGTTTGGAGAA